ATGGTGGGGGGGCTGGGGGAGCGGGCAAGGGTCAGGGGGGTGGGGGAGCTGTCAGGGGATGGGGCTGGCAGGGGTCCCCCCATGGTCCCCTCCCCACTCTTCCAGTCTCCTTTCCCCTGCCCCTACTTAACAGCTCAGAGTCTGGGTCCAGCTACCTGCTGCAGCGGGCGGGGACTGCCCGAATCGCCGAAACTCTCCAAATCTTTTCCGAATCGATTCAGACCTTTGAATTGGTCCCCTGATTCGATTTGGATTTGGAGATTCAGCCACCAAATTGGGCTGAATCTCCTCCAAATTGAATCAGCACCCGAAGCTTTGCACAGCCCTGTTAGCTAGTGATTATAGTAAGCCCTCTTGCAAAACAACCCTTGTATTGCTTAGAGTTGTAGGAAAATTGTATGGAGGGAGACGCTTTGTGAAATGAGACAGTTCTTTTTCTTTTTATTTCATACCTCTTATTTTGTAGTGTTTGCCATCAAATCCATTCATTAATAAAACCCTTTGCTCTAGACAGAATCCCTTCTGTCCAAGTCACCCCAGGCAAATGTTTGTCTAATGTGACAGTACATGGGAAAATTCAATCTCTTTTGTTTGTAATAGGTGATGAACTGAAACTCTGTTGAGGTCAAGAGAATGGGATGGATTCCAGGAGGTTAGCAATAGGATGTGGACAGAACTTTCACTTGTCTTGCTGGCTCTTTTCCAGCGTTCAGGGCTGGGACCTCAAAACTGTAGTTTCTGTCCCTCACTCTAAGGTTCTCTCCCCAGGGATGTCAGAGCTGACAAAGCTAGGATGCAAATTTACAATCAAAATGCAATATTCCACTAAGCAATATCATGGAAAAGCATTATAGGTGTTGATTAAGTATGTCCACCTGGGGAGGTGTGGAATGAAGCCTGGCAACACCCACAGGAAGTTAGAGTTATCTCAGTTATCATGGAAAATGCGCACCAACTAGCTATGGACAATCTGTGTGTGCTGCAATCTTCCAGTGCCTTCATGCAGCACGGTAGCTTGAGAGCACGATGGCATTTATAGTGCAGGCAAGATGTATCCACGTACCAAAGTAGCTTGTGCACTGTACATGCGCGCCGTTGCTGCTTCTGTGCTTCTGTCCCCAGGCGGACAATTTACCTAGTAAATTTAATTGAGTCAGATGCTTAATCCATTTTGCATCTGTTTTTCTGCCCTTAAAATGAGGTTAGTACTGGTTTCTCGAAGGTGTTGTGAGGCTTCATTTATACAGATTAGTGCAAGGTTTCAAAATAATCAGATGGAAGGCTGAAGAGAAGCATGAAGTATTACTGATCAGACCCCAATGCTTACCAGGGGAGGAGGAGGGATGAGATAGAAACCAGAGCTCTCAAGAGCAAAGAGGGGTGGCTATCTGCTGACACACGTAGAGAGCTTGCTGCTGTGTCCACACCCTTATTTTGTGCAATCGTTGATCCACTACTGGTAGTCACTATCTGACCTTTCCGATATGGTGCACATTTCCTTCTTTTAGTCTGCTCCCCTGTAGGCAGCTTGACAAAGGAAAGGATTTGGTATTTATATCTTAGCTACATATTAAATGTATGGAAGTTGAGTGAAAGTTCTGTGCATTTTGAAAGGGGTGTTGGTTGTAGCTGTGTTGGTCTACAGACGCAGGCAGACAAGACTCCTTGGGTAAATCTGATATCTTTTATTAGACCAACTCAAATAGTTGGGAAGAAATTTTTTTCCCAACTGTTTCAGTTGGTCTAATAAAGAAATATCAGATTTACCCAAAGAAACTTGTCTGAGCATTTTGAAACACGCGTGTACTTTTCCAGCTCTTAAATCCCTTGAAGAGGATTTTCTCCATTTCATCAAAATTTTTCTGGTTTTGAGGAGAGAACCAAAGCTTAAAATACCCCTTGGGTTTGTTTTTGTATTTGTTTTATAGCTTCTCCATGAAATCCTTAAGAAAATGAAAATATGCATGGTAACAAATTTCTATTACCAACATTTTGTTTATTGAAGAACCTTTTAAACTTCTGGGGCAAATTTTTATCAGATCAGATCAATAACTGTTAGGTCTTTTCAAGAGAAAGTTCTACATCTGAGGAATATTTCATGTATTAATTGTTTGCTGACATTCCAATTTTTACTTATTTGGGGGAATTTTTAGCAATGTAAAAAGAAACAATGAACACCTGTGTTGTCACTATAATGCAAAGAAGGCTTTAGAAGTATTCCACCATAACCTGAGGATGCTACAAAGAATTGTTCTCAGTTGTATTTCTTCATTTTCAAAAGAATTTTAAGAATCTCATTTTGATGGTGTCATGGTTTACATTTTGAGAATGAGTTAAATGTATCTTACCTTGCCATACTAAAAGTGTGCATGTCTAAAAAGAATTATCCATTTGAGGTGCCAATAAATAATTACTAAAATATAATGTAACAACTGAGAATAAATCCCCCCGAAATGTCAACAACATTCATGTGTTCCTACAAGTTATTTCAATTTTAAGGGGAAAATTGTTCAATCATGTTTATTACCATTTCTATTGGTGATATAAGCAGGAGGAATATGGTCTCACTCATTTACTTTTTCCTATTATTCAGGAATGGATCCTGTCACTACTTTTTCTCTCTCTGGTGTATATAATTTCATTGTACTCACATTATTTCTTCCGTCGAGACGTACCTTATGCCTTCCTTGGGCAATTAAATGGTTCTACCTCTGATGTGTCTCTCATTGCTTATACACCGGTGACGAGCACCACCAAGGAAATAATGAATAAAGTGGCTTCCAAATCAGTCATGATGGGTATGTCATGCTTGTCAAATACTTAGATGTGTTAATTCATTAACTATGGAACTTGTGGTATGTTTTAACAAGTTTGTCCTTTATCACAGCTTGTTGTCTATTTGTTATTCAGTATCTACCATATTCTCTGTGTTTAGCACATTGAGGAAGGTAATCGACAGCAAATTGTACAGTCCTGAGGGATTGCACCAAAGGGACAGTCACAATGCCCATGCATTAAGACTACATTCAGCAGCCTGCTTCATGAGCACTGCTCTGGAAAACTGGGGTTGCCTGAGATCTTTCTGCTCTTTTTCTCATTGAATCTGCCCAAAAGGCATTGAAGCCATGCAGAAGTAGATGTAGTTTCATCAGGAAGATAGCAGAGTTTGCATACCCTGTAGCAGGGCCCCATTATAAAAGGAGAATGAGTCCTTTAAGTGCAACAGTTCAGACTGGGAGGCTCCATATGGACAGGGATATAAGGGAAGGGCCCCAAGCTAGGAATGGTAGAAGAGCTTTGGCCATGGATGGGGAGGAGCTCCTGCCAGAGGATGTGGAGTCCAGAGACTATGAGTGGACTTCGGGAAATGGCCAACTTTGAAAAACAGCTCAGATAGGATGGTACTGGCCTGGAGGAAGGCTGGGGCTAGCAAAAGACTTCCAGGAGTGTAAAGAGGCCTTAAAAAGGGCCTGCACTGCAAGGACCCCAGCAGTGACTGGGTGAGTCTAAAGGAAAGACCAAAGGCCCTGGAGACATGAGGATGGATTAGAGCAGTGATTCTCAACCTGTGTTCAATGAGATCCTTTTAAAGGTGGCACAATATGCAGCAAAATACACAATTGGCAAAATAAATGTTATGCCAGTGACCCCAAATACTGAGGGCCAAGGTGTGGTGTGGATGAGTTCAATGATGATCTGGGGAAGATGTTTGGACTGAGGTTGTACCACATAGACCACATCTCAGCCTATGAAGGTGCCACTGCTGGTTCACCACACTGGGCACCAAAAAGAAAGAAAGGAACCTGATTTGTCTAGCGAGATCAAGTGCACTTCTCCATTGATAGCCTGGAGAAAAAAGAGGGGCTTTGTCCACAACGCTGTGATCCAGGTCCAGATTTCAGACACCCAAAAATCTGAATCATGGTTTTGAGTCATCTTGTAGAGACTAGGGCCATAAAAAAGGGCTGTTCAAATCTCTATACTTGGATTTCACAAAGAAGTTGATGGGTCTTCAGATTCTTTCAAACTGAAATATTGAATGGCTTAGAAGTGTAGCAACTCTCTGTTGTTGCATATACAATTAATCTGATCAGTACTTTCTTAATATATTTTTCCAAGCTGATAAAGTCTACAGTGTCTTCAGGTATCCACATATATCTGGCCTGAAGAACAACATTGTGAAGGAAGTCATGTCTCAGACAAAAACAAGAGATGTACAAAGTGTCAGTGCTCACGTTTTCTGAGTCTTACCTACCAGTTGAAATCCTTTTTATATATACAGGTATTCACACAGAAGGAGTGGAAGATGAGAAGGTTCTGGAAGTGAGAGAGCATTCAGAACAGACATTTTTCGGGGTTGTATTTAAAGATGACCTGTCATATCTTTTGAGGCATAGTTGGAAAACACCTTTTCCAAATGACAACTTTGGACACACAGGTAATGAAAAATAACTAAATGCCCATAGTCTGATAGCTGATGTAAGTAACAGTCTCCAGCAAAGCTACAATCTGGCCCTTAATCCATATGCATCAAATTATTTTTATGAACTAGAACGAACCACAAATCCAAGTTGATTTTACTTTTTTTTTTAAACAACAAAACAAAAAAGCCACACTTTCTTGGAAGAAATGAGTGGCATATTCTGCTGTTGACTTAAAATATTCTATCTTACTTGGTATGTTTTTCCATTCCCATATTCTTTTTCTCGTGTCTCATTATGCTGTTTCCTGCCTTTAAGATAACCCCATGGTATATGTCAGCATATGTTTTGGAGATTAATGGGCAAAAGCTATAGAGATCTGACAAGTGAAAATGTACCACTTAAAAGCAGTATCCAGAAATTAGCATCTGCTGTTGCACATTTATGATGATTGTGGGAATGTTATATTTGAATCTTCTGACTCTTGTTTGGGATTAAAATCTGAGCCTTAAAGTCGCTTTAAAACAATTGTTGCATATAATCATGCTTTTCCTTTCATCTTGGATGCAGATCTCTGTTACAATTTTTCATCAACTTACTGTAAGAACCCAGAGTACTGGTACAAAGGGTTTTTAGCACTACAGTCCAGCATTGATGCTGCCATCATAGAAGTAAGTGGAACTTTTGGGGTAAAACAATTTTCTGTTTCTTTTAGTCTGTACTTAAGCCCTAAGCCAATTAACATGTCATGTGACTGGGACCTTTTAACATCTGGAATTATCTAAATGTAATGGATTGGCTTGTTGGAAATTTCTACTTGAAGATGACTTGGGAAGTATCTTGGTAGCCTGGGTAGTTTGGCAGTGACTTTTTTTTTTTAATAACTATGTTCTCTATTCAAATTAGAATTAAGAAGTCCCCAAATAATAACACTCACTATTTATCTTATATAAAGAGTTTCCCAGGCCACAGGAAATATTGCACCCCAATGAACATGGACCTGTAATATGTCCTGTTGCTGGATAATGATCCTGAAGTAGCCATGACAGCCTTGTATTGTGGGTTGTTTTTTAACATTTCCATTTCTTTGCAATATGATGCTAACACCTGTACTTTAAGGTTTTTGCTCTTTTCAACCCATATATCCCATTACTGGTATAGCAAAACAATCCAGGCCTCTCACCAAATTTGTGAGGTTTTGTAGGGCCTAAAAGATGCAATCCAGTCATGCAGCCAAACCTCCTTGCCTTGCTCAGGACCCAGTGTCTCCTTGGTCTGGGCAGTAGCAGACCATATCCAGGTCTGTTCCCAATTCCAGTCTTTTTTTTCAGGTTGTAGTCACCTTGCTGCCATGTGCTCTGATGACTCTCATCATCCTTGGCCAGCAGTCATTAGAAGTTAGCATGCACTGTTTTCCTTCCGTTCTCTTTCTAAAGTATCTCCACTTAACATCAAAGCATATTAATAGTTCATTCATATATACATGCCTAAGTAATAGGTGTTCTGCTTTTTATTCTTCTCTCTCAGTAAATGAATTAGCCCCTTCATTTCTATTAGGTCACAACAGAGAAAATAAGGAAATACCTTAACTTCTTTACCAAGTTTTGTAGGAGAGTGGATGAAGGGGTGAGACAGGGGGCTGACAAGTGGCTGGTCACCATACTAGCCCACCCCTCTGTCTAGGGCAGTCTGTCCTGTCTTGCCTGCCACATCGTGCTGATTAATCAGCTCATAGTAAATATGCAGGAGGCTTAATGCCCCAATGCCTAGGGTGTTACACATGGTTCCAACCTTCCCTATATCGTGTCCCATGCCTCACTGATGGCATCATAAGTTCATAGCCTTTGACCCAAACTTGGCCTCACAATGTCTGAGGACTTATCAGGGTCTAACTCCTTTGCCCCCTCATTGGGGCTACTCCTCTGCCTTCTCATTGTGGCCCAAACTCATGCCCCCTCGCTGGGGCTCACTCCCTGAACTACTTGTGGGGCTTGCCTGTACGCAGACCTTCAGGTTGCCATTGCAACCCTACTCTGCGTGGCCCCAGTGCATCCATTCAGGTCACCCCCTGCGACCCTACTCTGCACCAACACTGCACAGCCCTTCAGCCTCCCCTTGTGTCACTACTCTGCACAGCCAGTTCTGTCTCTCTGCCCTGCTCACTGGGACCAACTCCACACACCCCACTGGGGCCCCAGGGTCTTACACCCTATGGGCTTAGGTGTCCAAAGATGTGCCTGGCCCCACTACCTGTCCCTACTCTGGGTTACCCACCAGGTTGCGGGAGCTGTGGCTATAAAGCACCCCATACTCACCTTTCACTGGGGAGGCAACTGGCATGGCATTTCCTGGGGACCACCCTGCCACAGGCAGCCCCATCACACCATCCTACCCCGGCATGGTGTAGTTTCATGTCATGCCCCAGGACCAGGAACGTCTTGCCATCCCCATAGTTCCTCCTTGTACCTCCACAGATGTTATGAGCAGCAGTCGCAGCTGGGTGGTGTTCTCTCTGGCTGCTTGCAGCAACTGCTAGCTCAGTCCTGAGAGCCTGGGTTAAAATGGAGGCTGCTCAGCCTCTTCCTCCTATGCCAGGGCCCTCCTGCAGTCATGTGACCACCTTATCAGGGCTGGTCCGCACCTGCTGGCTGCCCTGCTGCCTGTTCTGGCCCTTAAAGTGGCAGGCACCAAAGGTGCTCTGCCACAAGGGATTTGTGGCTTCATGATTTATTAGGGTTTGTACTACATAGGTAAGGGTTAGGCTTTCAAAATGGAGAGGCAGTCTGTGTTTGGAATCTGCAGGGGGTCCCACAAGATGGATGCAAAGATGGGTGAATGAGAACAGCAATGTTTCTGAAGCTGATCTTAGCAGCAACATTTTGCATAGACTTAAAGGAGGAAGACTGGAATGTTCAAGGCCAGAAAGGAGTTTAGAATAATAAAGTTATGAGCTTAGCGACCCACCACTAGTATCTGTATTTAGTGGCCTACAACATTCATTTGACTGTCTAAAATAAATGACATGCTAATTTTGCTAACATTAATTTTTAGATGAAAACCAATCATTCTGTCTGGAAAGAGATGAAATCAATTAGCGGTGTCCGTATGAAATCATCCAGTCTCCTGAATTCCATGACTTGGGGAATTTATTTTACCCTGTTTGTTACTGCAATGTGTTTCTCTACATTTTTGCAAGTTTTGTCCACAAATATGACAAGAGAGAAAAGAAATATCAAGGTATTGATGAAGATGATGGGGTTACAAGACTCAGCATTCTGGTGAGTTCTTCAAACAGCTAAAATGTATCCATTTTCTGCAGTATGGAAGTACTTCCAAACTAGTCATACCTTTCAGTATATGTTCAAATAGTTTATGGTGTCAGGATCTCATGGGCAAGAAGGACTCTCAAAAAACATCTGCCCATTCGGATGAGCATGCAAGCTTGGCTTATATTGTTTGGGGCCCGGGTTTGTTTGCTTTCTGAGGCGAGTGTTAGCATATCTTCCTGGAACACTAAAATGTTGACTCCGCTTGGATGTTGGGGAACATATACAATGAACCCAGCTGCACCTGCTGTAACGCTCCAGATGTGATGAAGCATTCATCAAGGAGTTGAAGAAGATCATGGGGCTGTGAGACTCAGCTTTCTGAGCATCCTTGCTCTCAGCAGCAAGGAATGACAACAGGGTGTCCTATTTAGTGCATTTCCATGTTCAGAGCATGTCACGGATGTGGGGCATGTTTGGGAACATCCCAGCTGGGATGCACTAAGCAGGACACTCTGTGGTCATTCCACAGCCCCATGATCTTCATCAACTGCTTGATGAATCCATGAGAGCAGGTGCAGTTGGGTAGGGTGTGACCAAGAATGTCTTGCGTGAGGCTTTGTGCTGCTGTGTTGAAGTCATATGCTTGGTTATTTTCTTACTGGTAGCCCATAGCTGTTAGTTGGGGAGCCATGGTAGAATGAACCATTGCTTCCCAAGTCGGTCTCAAGTTATCTTTTGAGTGTAAGAATAGCCTGATTTTTCTGTATGGGGATAACCAAAAGTACCACTAACGGGGAGAAAACTATGGGAATACTTGCCCTCTTGATTGTCTTCACATGGAAGGGACAAGTTCCTTTTCTGAACAGCTTTGATGAATAATCTCCTAATCAAGTCAAGGAGGCCAGCAAATATATGGAATGTGAATGGGCTTTGTCAGGGAATTTCTAACCATTTGAATTTAAACTGTTATTTGCCATGCAGCTGCCAATCATTAAATAACCAACACATAACAATATGTTTTTTCACTTCTAGGCTCTCCTGGAGTTTGCTGTATACTGCTTATGTTTTCATTATGTCCTGCCTGATGACAGCTGTTTCTTTTTATGAAGAGTTCTATCTAAGCAGCTTCTTTCCAATTGTATTCTTGTTTTTCCTTTATGGCATTTCAGCCGTAAGTCTGCATTTCAAAGAGAAACTTGCTCAATGTTCTGTGTTTAAAAATGCCATAATTTTGAACCGTACCCCACACTGCTACTGCATGAAAGACAGCCAGAAGAGTAGTCTAAGGGCCCCTCTTCACATTATATTTATACTGCTATTGAGGGTTGGTTACAATATAAATGTCAAGGATGCTACACATGCACCCAGTTTTACATGCCATAACATGGTAAACCAGTCTTATGGCATGGCAGGAGGCATAATTGTTGGGCCTGGGAATCAGATCCCATGGCACCTTCAAGTGAACATCTTCCAGGTGCTGAACTGTAGCCTTTGCTTGGCCATACTAACTAAGCAAGCTGAGCATCTCTAAATCAGTTTAGATAGGACTTTAATTATCTGATGAGCTATAAGTAAATGTGCGTCCTTATCTTGGATCTGTCCACCAAGAGCCATTTCAAACAATGAGAGAAGAAACAAATGAGGGTTGTGATCATAAAAGCTAAAGTGGCTTGTCGGTATTGAAATGGGTTCTACCATGGATGTCCTTTAATTTTGTGGGTGGAACTCTCCCAGGAATAACTTTTATGGACTGTTTTTTGGTTTGTTTTGGGGGGGGGTTCACATTCTTAGAATTGGGACCTTCATGTAAGACACTCATAGATGCTCTTGTGTGCTCAATTAATTTGAAATACATTTTAAATACAAATTTAACTTCACAGCACCTCTCTAATGTGTGATGCACAGTTTATGATACATTTCCAGGGGTTTAAAATGCATTCAGCCAACCAAAGGTTTCCTTATTTTTACAGATCCACTTCACCTTCCTGATCAGCTCCATCTTTAAGAAGCCTAAAACCACTAGCACTGTTGTGTTCCTCCTCTTATTTCTCTCTGGATTTTTGAGTATTATTCTACTGATAAGGAAGCCTCCTGTAGCTTTTGAATGGGTTTTTGGTTTCCTCAGCCCTTTTGTTTTTAATGCTGGAATTGCAAAGGTAAGGAACATTATTGGTGAACAGTCAGGGTTGACTGTGTAGTTTTCCTGTGTAGGTTATGCAGTGGGACTTGTATAGGATGGTTTGGATAGGAATGCACCTGCCTCAAGAAGCAGTTGGACTAGTCGACCTCTAGAAGTCCTTTCTAGCCTACCTTCTCTATGAGTCTTTGTACATCGAAAAGCTGCAAGTAGTAGCTTGTTTGGAATGTGTTTGATCCAGACAAAGATAGAGAACTACTTATCATGTATGACATTGGTATTCAGAGACCCTGTTGTGCTATGGGGTAGAAAAACACATGGGAACATAGCCCTGTCCCAAAGCATTATGTGATCAATAGTAGTAAAATGTCCAAAAACTTCAGTTTCTTGTGTGGAAGTAACTTGGAACTGGAGAAAAGCAGCTTCCCAGTCCCTTATCTTTCCATGACAGAAACTCTGCCCAGCCACAGGTTTTATTTTTCTTCTCCACCTCCTCCCACCTTTCAGCTAATTGGAAGACAGTTCTCCATAGAACTGTGTCCCTTCTGCCAATAAGTCTGTCCTTTAAATATTCCTAAGTAATACCTGCATATTCCAGCGGAAGCTGGGTGTTCAAGAGCTCATCATTTGGGCCCAGCCCATCTCCAAACTAGTTTGATTTCCAGGTGAAAACTTCTCAAGACAGAGGGTTTTGCACCCCCAGGAGCTGAGTTCACTACAAATTCTCATTATTTAAGGAAGCATTAAATTTACCATGTTTATGTTGGATATTTGATTGTAGTCTTCAATACAAAATCCAGAGGAGTGTCCCGGTATACCAATATGTGTTTGCACTTCATTGGTGGGTGAAATGATATTTTTTCCCCATGATTTGTAAATATGGTTCTGAAGAACTGATCCTTTGAATGAAAACAGGTAGACCCCTATCATTAGGAGGAATTTATTTCTATTAAGGAGAGGAAAAGAAGATGATACAGTTCTGGACTTCCCAGATTACCTTTGGGTAAACTAAACATTGCATAAATCACATCAGATTTTCTTTTATTTTCTGGGGATGGTTTTTAAACTGAAGATTGTTTAGACTTTTTCTTTTCTTGCAGGTTTTTCACTTAGAGCAGTATGGAATAGGCTTCTATTTTTCTAACCTAATGGATGAATCATCCTTTTTACTTAAAATTTATATCATCCTGATTATTGACTCAATTTTGTATATGCTGTTGGCTGT